GCCGAGGGTTTGGTTAAACCACACGAGCGCTCCCCTCTGCCGCGTACAAACCCACCCCAACCCCAGCCGGGACCGCTGCTGACTTTACAACTTCATCTTAGCAGAGAACAGCACGGAGCCAATGCAGTGGTGCAGCCGAGCTGTGCGTTTATCGTCCACTGCAGTGTGAGGCCATGTTGGGGTCCGTCCCCCCGCTATTTTTAACTTCAGATAAACGTGAAACATCCTCATAGCGGCGCTAACTTCAAACTACCCAAAGCAGTGTCAAAGTTGGGGTTTTACACCGCTTCCCAGCGTGCTTTCAAGTGATCTCACCCAAAGCATGGGGGGAGCAACTCACGCCCAGCCTCCCCGCTGCAGATCACGACGGCTGCGTGTGCTCGCGTGGCGTGGCCCAGCACTCGTGGGAGCTGCTGCTGCTAACAACATGGCGTCAGCCGAGCCTGCCTGAACACCGGAGAGAGTCAGGAGAGGGAAGACCCAGCGGGAAGGGCTGCAGCAAGGAAGATGGCCCTCAGTGGAGGAGGATCATTTAGGGAACACTGGAACAAGCTGGACATGAAGTTCACAAGACCTGATGGGACCTGGCCACTGTCACTGCCAAGCCCATCCCCGTTACCTTCGAAAGGTCACGGCGAGCAGGAGAGGTTCCTGATGGCAGGAAGGGTGTAAATACCACCGCTCCCTTCAAGGGTGGGGGATCAGGGTAACTTCAAGGCTCGTCAGCCTCACCGAGCTTTCTGCCCCTCCTTCTTGTCACCCTGTCATTCCCAAACAGAAAAGAAAACACAAACTTGTGGTGTCACACCTCATTTTTGTTACCACTGCAGCAGGGGTACAAGAGGCTCCTCCAGACCCTTTCTCCAGGCCATCTCCCGCAGAGGACCACCGCTGACAGAGCAGCAGCCTCAGCCTCTCCCCGAGGCAGCACCCCCAGGCCTATGAGCACTAAAAATTCAGTTGTTTTATCTGTGGTTTCTAACCAGTCACACAGGCAGCAGTGTCTGAAATCTCCTAAGGAAGTCCCAGTGCCGCAGATGGCAGAAAAAGGGCTCAGGAAAGAAACACCCCTGAGGAACTTTGCGAGGAGGACACCTTCAGACAGCCTCTCCCCTGCCCCCTCGCCCCGAGAAGAACAGACAGACAATTCACTTGCACACAGATGCTTCGTAACACAGGAGCAATAACGATGAGACTACCGGCTCTTTAAGTAGTTTTATAAAAGTATTTGACTTACTGAGATACTGTTACAGTTACCTGAGTATTTTAAATTACAATGCAAGGAAATTTCAACAATGAATTTCAGTACAGTATTTTACAATCCAGTGCTGCTGATCCCAGTTTATATACGAGTTCACTAGAGCACATATACACAAACAGTGATTCTTGAAGAAAATTAAAAGACACCGCTAAAAGGGGGCTGGAGATACCAACGCAACAGAGAGACTGCAGATTACAAATCCAGAGCAGCATGTATTAAAATGCAAACAAACAAAACAAATTTAAACAACCATTTTTTTTGTTTTACTTTTCTCAGAATGACAAGTCCCCCATCCCCCCCTTTTTTTATTAAACACAAGCAACTGGATTAAAAAAACAACCCCACACTTCCACACTAGATCAGCTGAAGACATGATGCATTCACTGTGCATTTCATTAGTATATTAACATTTCCTGAGCTACCCAGAACAATAAGGCTTTGCTAATTCTTAGATCCGCGGCTCAGCATTCGATTTTCTCATCATTCTCATAAGGCAAAATTCTAAACAAAAGTTACTTTAATACTTGAAGACTGGGATGAACTGGCAGTTGCATATGAATATACATTTGTGGCATATGATGAATTTATGCAGCTCAGGCTGCTACGCCGGTTGAGGCAGTGGGAGACAAAGCCGTCAGTCTCTGCTGAACATCTGGCCTGGAAGTCCCGTTCCGAAGAACCTGCTGTCTGGGCACCAGATGCTGTGGGCTGCCCCAAGGGTTGTTTTTGCCAGGTCCCCACAAAGAACAGAAAAGTGCACCAGTGGCTTATATTAATTCCTTTTTATTTCTCCACAACATGCTGTAAAAACTGAACAGATCTGTTAGCATTCCCAACGCTGACAAAGTAAAATGCCTAGGTAATCTTCACCTCTGACTTCAGAAATATTGCCAATTTAACACATTGAATTTTTTATATTTTGGGCAAATTCAATGTTTCACAGATTAATTTTTTCCTCCAACAAATTCTTTATTTTGTGTACTTTAAAATCGTATCTGGTTCTTGGGATATCCAGCCCCCTTTCCCCTGTCCTAATACAGCAGAAAAGACATATAAACATGCCATTTAAATTAAAGAAAGAAAAATGGAATACATGGAATCCTGGACTGCAAAAATATATACAAGCATTTACCTTTTTCCTGAACTAAACATTTCAACCATAAAAATATTAAACAGCCATACCCTATAGAACTAGGGCTAAGGCTATTTCAATTATAACTATTCTTTATTTTAAAAATATAGGGCTGAAAGCCTTTTGGGTGATATTTATACATTAACAATATTTCTAGGTTCCCTACATGAATCATAAAGCATTATGCAGAACACAGACTATTTTTAATAGCTTCATCTTGCATTATCTTGCTTAATTTAATCTCTCTTGTAAATATGTTAGATAACTACATTTCATTGTAAGAATTAATACAAACAGAAAATATTTATAAGGCTTTTTTTCTCCTCATGAGCTGCATACAGTAATATATCCATCAAATGTTTTGAAATTGGCAGATTTTCCTCCTAGTAAAACTATGAAGTCAGGCTAGTTCTCACCATCAATGAAAGTGTAAGAGAGGGTAATTTCTGTATCGCCAGAAACTCTGTTCCGTGCCCTTCTTAGCATACGGATGATGAGAGAGCTGTTCGCTCTGAGGTCTGATCATTCTGCCTTCCCGTGAGCACGCAGCACGGCGTGTGACTGGAAAAAACTCCTGAAGTCAGTTAAAAACTAGTGTCTTGGTTTTTCTCAGGCCTGAATCAGTTTTTCCCCTCTTACAGTTTAGACAGAAGGGACAGCAGGGAAGAAATACTCTTTCCAGGACTGGAAGGTCAGTTTTACAGGTTCCTCCTGTCCCGTTTCAGCGCTGGTATCTCGGAGCCTCCTGAAACCAGCTCCTGTCCCAGTGCGCTGAGCTGTGGCCATGCTTTAACAGGCACCACGCGCTATTTCAAGCGTCGCGTCACGTCGCTTGCTACGGCCGACAGCTCACCGCACTGCAGCCTGCTGTCCTCCTCCGACAGGGAAAGGGCTGACCAGACCCAAAAAGTGCAGTCAGTCTAAAGGAGCAGTAAAATGCAAAATGCTGCTGTAAACCAGAAGATAAGTGAGTATTAACAGATTCTAAAAGGAAATAAAAGATGTTATTAATCCAAGAGGAACTTGCTACAAAAGTTACTAGCGATAAGCAGCTTCGGGTAAATTAGCTTAGAAACCTCCCCCAGAAACTTTAGTTTCAGACTTTATAGAACTATTTACTGATGCTCCAGCTTTTCAAACATCTGTAATCTGTGTCTGAACTTTCTAATCCTCTTTGCCTTAGCCAGTATTGCATATCAGTTCATCAGCAAAAATGACAACTACTATCGCTTTCTGGATCCAGTTGTTATGTACCTCTTCCCCAGAGCCCAGTACAGTCTTCAGAGCAAACTGACTGCAGCACGTAAAAATAACACTGAGAGTAATGTCCATTAACACTTTCGACAAGAAACATCAGTCCGCAAACGGGAATCGAAATGGAATCAGTGCAATCCCAGATGGTCTTGTCTTTTGCAAAACAAGTGAAGTACCACAGTGTTAGTACTGATTTAAATGTGTTACACAGAAAAAGATCAGAATTCTTCTGAGAGCGCACAGAAATGCTTCCACAACTTTGGGTGGGTGTCTGTTTGGCTGAAATTAGCAGAATTGGGGAAAAAGCAAAGCACAGCTACGCCCTGGATTTGTGCCACAGTTTGACATCCCCTGAACAGCAGCTTGAGTCCAGCTGGCACGTGAGCAGACTCCAGGCGGGGAAAAACAGTCTGGCCACATTCGAGTTAGAAGAAAGAGCTTAAGCGATGAGTTTGCTCACGGTAGGCAGAGGATGGTTACACGCCGGCTCTAACGCCGCTGCTGTACAGAGGCTTATGATGCTGCTGCAGCACTGCAGCTACCAATGAACTTCCCAGTACATCAGTAGCAAAAAATGCTACTAAAAAGGAAAGACAAAACTATTGTTAAAAACCTGTCAGTCATTAAGGACGCATTCTAATTAATGAATGGTAAAACAAAGCAGAGCCCAAAGCTGTATTAAACCTCTACTTAGGTTATAGTTCATCTGTAGCCATATCTGATTGTTCATTTGATTTCTGAAAGTGCTCAGTAGAAATCCAGAGTTAATGTGGATAAAACCTCAGGATAAGACTCACTTACTTAAACATTAGTATTGTTAAATAAATCCAAGTCAAGTCTACTTTACAATGAAGTGTGCAACAAGCAGAAGAAGTGAAGACCATACATCGTGTTGAGTTCACATTCTTCAAGGTGCAAATTTTAGCTATTCTTGCCCAAATCCTTCTGTTTCTTCAATTGCGAACAACAGCTTTTCCTTCAACTGCTCATAATTCTTATAGGGTGGAAGGTCTAAGCGATTGAAACTGCAAATAAAGAAAAAACTTGAGTACTGAAAAATAATTAAACCATCACAAAAAATCCATTACAACTATGGGTAAAGTTTTTGCTGTGTAGATGAATACCTGGATTTATACCCTGTGAAAAGCTGACTACTGACATAAATTAATGTATTTCTGAGAGCAAAAGTTCGAGCTCAAGCGCTTGAACAGCGACAGTTTTCTAGAAATGCAGTGTACTCGGTAAAAGGTTTCACTGCCTTTCCCTAGCTGGTTAACTAGAGTCATCATCCACATTTGACATTTTAAATTTGCGTGGCATTACTTAGCACTGCTACACCTGAGGAACTGGGTAGCAGCTACCTTTTCTCTAGGGAAGAGGGAGCATGAATGTGGCTATTTCGCTGTCAAGACAGAGTGCAGTGACAAGAGAAGATCAAGCCCAACCTCTTCAGACAGTACTGTTTAGTACTCTAAACTTTCAGTAATACACAAATCCATGGAATTTACAATGGAATCGACTCCACGCCACAGGAGTTTTTCAGAAGTTCAGCTACTAATCAACAGCAAAGCTATTGGTCTAACTTGGTGTTCGCTTTCACAGTCTCAACCATTTAGGTGTATTATCCATTTACAAAACTCTCCAAGTAGCTTGTTGCCAGCAAAACCAGAACAGTACTATTCCCACTTGTTACATACCAGGTATGACTTCTAGGTAACCAGTTTTCCTTTCCAACTTTTTCAATACAAAATTTCTGGGGTCCGTTGCTCCCTGTAAGAAATTCAAATAAACAAGGCATACGTCTAGCTACCTTTGTATCATCAGGTAACACGTTACAGCTGAGGTACGAAAGGCTTCAAGCCAAGACGACCTTTACTTGCAGGGAAGAGACATCTGTCTCACTATACCACTCTGCCTAGGCCCAAGTAGGCGTGCGGTGAGGTGCGGAAATTTGAAGTGATTCTGAAACTCAGTACAATAGGTGTAAATCCTCCCTCCATCTCTTTTTTCATCATAGCTCAAGTATATGCAGGACTTACAAAACAGCATTCAATATAAAACTAATTTTAAACGTCCATAAACATAGAACTTGGTTCTTTTAAAAAGAATTACCGAATGAATTAGAGGGATTATTAATGCGTACCCATGAGGTCAGCAAATCCTCCCACTGGCAACCTGCACGTTCCAGTAACAAACTGCAAGAGTCTCATTCTCTTCTCATTATCTATTTCTTTCACAAACTGCAAAATAATAATTGAAATAAGCATTTAGGTATAGATTTGATATTCAGATTTCACATCGTCATCCTCCATAGATTAACAAATTACATGACTGTTATGAATCGCTGGACTAGCAGTAGCAATTTATATTTACACACTACAGATCTGTTCAATAACTGTGACTATTGTTTACTAAGCTGTAGCTGTGCTCTGTAACTTCTGCTGGTCTGAGAATAAAGCAAAGTCTACGAACCTGCCAGAACCACACAATCTGCCTGCTGGTCCTGGTGTAGTGCCGGTAGATGGTATGCCTCTGCCAGTCGTTCAGATCAATCTCTTGCATTCCACACAGAAGCACCTTTAGGGGAGATAAAGGGGAATAAACCCGCAGGTACAAGTTACGACTTTCCTTCTATGAGTTCCCACATAGCAAAATACAACATCAGCGGCACCCATACTTAGAAGCATCTGCAATGACAGGATGTTTGTTTTTAATTTTGAACTTTATCCAAAACTTCTACAACAAAGAATGGTGACTGCTCATGAAGTGTATCTGGAGAGGACACAAAACAGAAAGCATCTCTGTCGTGAAAAATGGAGTAATTGCTTGCATTTAGACATTCAAGCCAGGAACAGTTTATCATTGCCCAGCCCCACAACTCTCTGCAAGGAACAGGATGTTTTGTTTTTATCTCTCTAAATTGAACAGATGCTTCAGAAAGTGTAATTCTGAGAGATCAAAACCATCTAGAACCCGGTCCAGCCCAGCCATCTAGAACCCGGTCCAGCCCATATGCAATCATCCATTTGGTGGCATATCTGGTTTTATCTCCTTTTCTGTCAAGTTGCTCACGGGCAAATCAAATTGCTGTGGATTACAACAGCAATTCCACAAGAAATTTCTACTGGCAGAACCTTTGCCTTCAGAAACACTTCCGTAGGCTGCAAAAGGACAGTGAAGCAAAACACACTGATCAAACGCTACTCCATAAGGTTTCCCTCATGCGCCCTATAAAACAGAATTGTCAACCTTAGCGAGTTCTGCTCTTCAGACATAATGAGTTCAAGTATTTTCTGTGTAACAACCTGGACCTAGCAGCAGCCAAACCATCCTTTACCTCCAGTTCCTTCGCATCAAAATACTGCAAATACTGTTGTGGCAGAATTTCATTGAAGCCTTCAAAGAAAGCCTGCGTCTGCTCCTCCACGCCTCGGGAAAGTCTCCATTCTGCTACTAGCCTGTAAAGAAAACACAGAAAGATAATTTAAATGGCCTGTGCTAACCCCAGTCCACATCTTTGTTAGCCTATTTTGAGACGAACTGTAAGCTAAGTTAAAAAAAAGAATATGGAAAGTCTGGAAAGTTCTGGGGATAAAGCATTGTATAATGTGATTAGTAACCTTTACTCTGTGCAAACGATTTTGTTTTTGAGTTAAACCCCTATGTTTGCAACCATTCTGCTACAGAAAGTACTTCAGACTCAAAGAGGAGGCAGCATCTGTCCGCTGATTATATTAATGAGAGCACAGCAGTCCCTAGGTGTTTGAAGAAAGAAAAAAGCGCGGAGCAGTATTTTTCTAATATTCTCCCCAGAAATCTCAGTCATTATCCATGAAAAGGTAAAAACTAGGTCAAGTTGTACTGGTGAAGATAAGTAGGACTGCCAGCTTACCAAGAAACGACTATGTCCATTTGGAAAGTTCCATATTTGTTTCTGTTAATCATGAAACTTTGCTCTATGGCAGAAACTCCACTCTCCATTAATAAAAGGGTGAAAAGCAGGCAGGAGACCCGAAGAACCTGAACCCAGGGAGAAGCAGATATTATGCTGAATTCAAGCCTAACCTGTCAGGAGAACGGGAGTCTAAAGGAGAGATGGCTATTTTCTGATTTCAATCCTAGAAACTTTGGGAACTTAAAGCAGGACTCAGAGTAAGACAAAAGAACATGAGTGGAACCGGAATCCAATCTCTCCCTGCGTTCCCAGAAACTCGAACAGAATGATTTTCTGCACATCCTCCCTGTTTTCAACCCCAATATTTACTACTTGGCAAAACTGCAAAATGCCAGTATGTTTCTTCTACAGACACTACCCTTCTGTGAATCACTGAAATGTCTTCAGGTTACTCATGTGAGGAAAAGAAAATCCACTCCCTTCTCCCTCGCCCCTTCCTGTGAATGAAGCCTTCACAGAACACATGGTAAGAAATAGGAAAACTCCACTGTGATCCGGTTTATTTTATGCCTGCTGTGTGTGACTTTTTTTCTGCAAGCGCATCCTCCAAGCTTATGTATTGAAATTCACACCTTAAAGCAGAGCTTTTGTACTGCTGCACGCTGAGGAAGAAGGGGATATATCAGGACAGAGCAGGTCACTGTTTGTGTTTGTACTCTTTAACCACTCATAGGCTCCTTCCCTCTTAACCTACTGCTGTAAAACATTCTGGTACTGCAAATATAATCCTTCATTTATGACAATACAACTTATGACATCATTCATAACACTGCCCTGTTGCAAATGCCATGACCTAATTATACTGTAACACCAGTTCAGATAAAACCAGCAGCGATCCCAAGTATCTTCAAAAAATAAGAATCATCACAAGAGCATCCAAAAATGTTACTAAGTTTAAAAAACCCCAGACACAGAATCCTTGGGTAGAGTATCAGCAGGCTATGAAGCAATGTAAGTCCAGTAACAAACACATGCAACAATTTCGTGAAATACCGGACATTCACATTTGCTGTCACAATGTTCTGCTAAACTTACATATCTCTAGGAAAAACATGGACCTTCTACTAACTGTAATCTTTGGGAAAAGTGGATGTTAAAAACTTATTTCTATCGATATTCTTCTTTCAAACACAATATTCAAACATACTGCCACTTGTTGTGAACATCAGCAATAACTCAAGAGACAGAATTTCAACAATGCTTCAGGCTACATCGTGTGACAATCTTTTCTTGCTAGAACTAAAGAGAAAATGATGGAGATACGAGTATTTTAAAATCTTCATTTATTCTTACCTAATGTATTCTTCTTTGTTTTCTTCTGTGACCAGAATGTTGCTACCATTTGGCTTCAAATCATGGCTTTTGATTTCACCTAGAATTTCTTTATCAACTGAGAAAATGATTTCCAAGCCACATTCTTCAATGTCATTCTCTCTGTAAGGAAAAAACCGTAATTTTAAGTAACTGTGGTCAAGACCTTGTACTTAGTAGAGGAGATGGGTATGAAGAACCTTAAGAAAAAAAGGTTTGGAGCTAAATAATCAAGACAAGGAGATGTTCCTTCCACAATAATTGTTTTGCAAGTACTGACTCCTCTTACCAACACGCATACATGAATTCTACTCCTGATCAGAAATTTTTGATCAGTAGTACCCTTAAATTTACCAGTCACAAGGCTGACAAACTACCTGCTGCCTCTGATCTGTGCTGTGGAATCTCTATGGAATGCAGAAACTTTTCAAGTAACAACATTCCTACGCATGTCATTGCATGATTGCTTCTTCTACCAGGTGGCAATGTAAGGGCAGTGTTAAAACACAGCTCTCACTTTGTCAGATCATAGCAGGTGAGAAGCAACTAAGAAGGACCTTGAATGCTTGATGAATTACCTTCAACTCGAGTGTATTTGTGGGACTATCTTGTAAGCATATACTAAAATGTTCCAAGCTCCTAAGTTAACAAATACTCCTGCTAAAGAGGAATTCTCTTAGAAATTTCAACACAGGAAGAATCTGTAGCCAACAAACATTGCTCAAATAGACCCTATTCTCGTTATAGGTGTTAATAGCCAGGAGAAAAACAGGTATAACGCTGTAATTTATGTTTATATGTCTGTAAAGTGAACAATCATCTGCACTTGCAGAGGTTTTGATGATCATTTTCCCCCAAAATAAGTGCAAAATCAAGATAGTTGTCCCAAACCGTGACACAGAAATGTCAGCCTTGAAAACATCGCTGTGGTTTCTCTAGCGCCGTGATGCAACTTGATCTTTCCAGAACAGATGCTACCGCATGAAATCTCAGAGGAGAAGGGAAGGCTTCAGATGGACGGACGATGAAATAAAATCATCCTTTTAAAACGGAAGATACCTGCTCTAGCTCAGTTTGAGCAGCGAGGTTTGACTGGCTGACCTCTGCAGGTCTCCTTCCAAACTCAGCGATTCTGTGAAACTTTCAAAATTGTGGGAATGAGATAAAGGCCCACATGACAGCAGAAGCACCAAGAAATTCAAAACTTCTGAAAGTTTCCTGGAAAGTTATAAAATTTGCTTTTTTGGTGAGGAACAAAATTATGTCCACCCTGACAGACGTGATTTTTTTTCCTACAAGTTTGCAGTCATCATTCCCTTAGAGGAGAACTCCATCAGCATCACAGATAAGCAGGCTCAGCTATACTGAACTTGAAGTCTGGGTCTCTGTACTTCGAGGGCAACGTGCACTCCGCAGAGGTCTGAAGGGTTTTCTCCAGAATTTTCATATCTTTAAGTGTTTTTGCAAAGGAGCAAAGCCCTTCATGGACTCCAATCCAGAAGATTTCTTTATCACTACAGAAATTGCTACTAATATTTGGGTCACACTTGCTCTGGAGACAGCCTTTAGAAAAGTTCTTGTTACAGCCTTAAGCTTCCCTTATTGCCGCCTTCTGTGGTTAAAGAAAAAAACCCCAGCCACTGAATGCAGGTTAATAAAAGCCTGTGTAGCCAGCACAGCTTGGTCATTTGAAACCCTCATACACAGAGTCGGATCTAAGAGTTGCTCGTGATGGTAAGTTCTGAGTTTTCTGGTTCCTTACTACAGATGCAGGCTTCTCCTGTCTTTGATAAAATCCTTCATTAGGGACTGCTGGCACCCAAGAATTCAGTCTTGGAAGTTTCACACCAACAACCCTCTGGGTGGTATCTGGCAACACTGCACACTGAATTAAAATGGAGAGAAAAAGTAGCCTGCAAAGTCTAAGACAAGTTCCCATTTATTGCCATAGACAAGCAGCCTAACATTGACATCCAGAAGCCTCTGTGCTCCCTTGTAAACCATTATAAATTACATAGGCACCAAAAGAACCATACATAGAATAAATGTAACACACTCCAGCAGCACTGAAAGACCTTGCAATTACTGGGTGTTACAAAGAAAACTCATTGCTCTGAAATGTGAGGAGCGGCCAGCTTACGTGCACTGCACACACAAATGTAAAGATCCAGCTATGTCTACAGATAAGGGCTTACAATAACACCCTTTTACTCCAGACCTTCCACAAAATATTAATGGGTGGATACTGTTCATAAGGTAAACACTGTTGTACGCGCAACTTGTTATAACTTAGAAGACCATTCACCAGTAATAGCTTCCCCCATGATTTAATGCAAATTTCTTCCCTATAACTCGCATTTCTCAGTATCATATTTGCTTCATGTCTAAATCTCAGTAAGTCATAAGATGACAAAAAAGTGCCCTTCTTGTAAAAAAATATATGTACATTTTCTGACTACAAAACAGATAGCAGGATTCCTTAATTACAGAAATCAGGACCTACAGCTTTGAGACCTTATCTTCCCTTTCAGGTCTCAATTTCATGGCATCTTTACTCAAATAGCAACTGTTTTCAGTTTCCCTAATGGAATTTTAGCTCACTACACCTTTTAGCAGCACATACATTGAGTACGGAACATACTAGTCTTTGAAAACCAAGTCAAAATTCCTATCTCAATTTGTAAACATCTCAAAGCTGACTTCCCCCTCCTCACTATTCAAAATAATGCTTCCAAGATTCACCACTACAGTAACTGACAATCTTGTCTTTTATATTTATTTCTCCATTTTAAAAAATAACCCATTCCCATCACCTTTTATGAACTTCTCAAAACATTCTAGTTTTGTATGATTCTTCAGTAAAATGTTTTGCCTCACATTTATGTCACATAAAAAAGACTAATTTTTCTGCTGAAA